GGGAGGGGTCTCTGGTGGGAGTGGGGGTCATTCTAGCTCCCCTGTCTGCACCCGCGGGGGCCTGGGCCGCGTTTACCCTGCGGACTGCGAGGCCCGTCTCCGCTCCCCCCTCTCCTCGGTTCCGGCCCCGGGTGGGCGCCTTGTCCCCCACGCGCAGCGCCGGCGACGGCGCCCGGCACCGAGGGAAGTGTTGATATAAAACAAGTCACTGTTCGCTCCCAAACTAAACCCAAACCAACCAAAGCCACCAAGAGGGGAAAAACCAACAGCAATACAGCCAGCCCCTAGCAATTGTTTCACGGTCGGAATTAAATCACATCAAAACGCCCCCTGAAACCCACATCCTGACGGAGTGAACCTGCAACAGCCAACCTCTAGTCGTTCGCTCGAGTTCACACGAACAACCCGCCTCTACATCCGAGGGAAGGGGGCGGCGGGCGGCGGTGTTTCTCCCGCGCCGCACCCACCACATCCCGGACTGTGCACCCAAAGCGGCGGCTTGCATATGTAATAGCAGCCCCCACACGAATTAGAAAAGACCTCCCGGCGACAGAAATGCCTTTGCCTGCAACATCACCGAACCTGTTAGAGGAGAAGGAACTTCTTGCCGGGGTTACTGCACCCCTCCTGAGTTCCCCTGCTTTCCAACCCCCATCCACCCGCCCCAGGAGAGACAGACTTCACGTGGAGATGTCAACCTCCTTCTCAGACAAAGCTTCAAATATACTTGGGTGAATGTTTTCTGGTAAAGCCCCCTTTAAGTACAGCCCGTCTCAAGATTAGCAACAACGCTAGGGACAGTCAACACCCGCACGCCTCGGGGAGGACAAACAGCCACATAAACAGAGCAAAGCGCTCGGTGATTTCGTTAGAAACAATGTTTCCATAGGAGAGGGTTACCGAAAAGTACCAAACACAGCCACCTACCCTCGGCCCTTCAAGTAAACAGTTCCCACAAGTTATTATTCCCCAAATCCCCATCTTCTCGAGCTTCTAATCCCCAGGACACCTGAACGGGATCTCCAAATGACTCCGGGAGTCCAGATAATTAACATGAAGGACAAAATGAGATTCGAATTAGTTGTAACACTTAAACAGGGAGATGTAGGAGTTGCCACTTAATATCCTTTTGGCTTCCAGAAAATATCCTCTGGCCATTCTGTGTGCTGCCCCCCCCCC